TATTTAATATCTTTACAACATTTACCGTTTATTCATTTGTGGCATTCAGACTTATTTCCGAGTCAAAACTGAACTGAAGGTCATCGGACATATGTCCGACCCAAACTCAACGTCACCGGACATTTTGTCAGACGGCCCTGTAAAAGATATTTTAAGGCCTGGCCTCACCCGTTCTGCTTTGCGTACACTATACTTTGCACTTTTTTATCCTTATTTTAATTACTGTATTACGATATGGCGCTCGACATATCCCTCCAATGTCAATCGCCTCATTTTACTTCAGAAAAAAGTCATTAGAATATTATGTAATGTAACTTTTGACGCTCATACATCACCCTTATTCAAATCTTTAAATTTACTCAAATTTAATGATATATATTTCTTGAATTTTGGTAAGTTTATGTTTTCTTATAAAAGTAATCTCCTCCCACAAAGCTTTATCAATTTTTTTCAATTACTGATCAAGTCCACACGAGTTCGCAACTTGCGTAGTGCTGGTCAATTCTATATTCCATTTTGTAGAACTAAAACCAAACAGTTCTCTATAAAATACCAAGGTCCTAAATTTTTTAACTCATTGGATCCTGATATTCGTAATACTCCCACATTTCTACCATTTTTGTCTAAGCTAAAAAAATTAAATACTTTTTTGATTTGTACTAAATTTTGGCACTTTATTTAATAATCATGTTAATTATAAGTATCAATATCACTCAATTACTATATATTTCTACCGTAGTGTTTGACTATGAGCATTTATCTGTATTTTGTAATTTGTATTTCGTGTGCTGCTTGTACATATTTTGTACTGTTTAATAAGCGAGCAGGAGTGTTGTATTAGGTTTAAAGACACGAGCGCAGCGCGAGTGGCTTTAGACCTAATAAAACAAAACCTGCGAGTTTATTAAACGGCTTCAAACACGACTACAAATTCAATAGATATACCGCCTTATTAGTATTCTTTATATAAAAAAAAATACTAATGTTATGAGGACACGACAACAATAGATACTGCCTTATTAGTATTCTTTATATAAAGAATACTAATTAGGAGCGTTTTATCAGATTTAAAGCCACTGCACGTGACATATTATAGTTGACATGATTTGCCAATAAGCTTATGAATTATTAATGAGTGTTTGAAGTACTGTTTAATAAACGAGCAGGAGTGTTTTATTATGTTTAAAGACACGAGCGCGCAGCGCGAGTGGCTTTAAACATAATAAAACACGACCTGCGAGTTTATTAAACAGTACTTATAATAAGTCAAATCATTATATAAAAATCTTTATATACAAATCTTAATAAGTCAAATCTTTATATAAAAATCTTTATAATAATTATATACAAATCTTTATATAAAATTTTTTATATAAAAATCTTTATATATGAATTTTTTTCTGTGTTGGTGTTGTGTACTCAGGTGAATAATATGTTTCCGATGTTGCTCTGAGTGCATATCCACACCGGGCGAGCTTGAAAAATATGCCCGGCCACGGTGGGATTCGCGTAGCTCAGTTGGAAGAGCATTGGGCTAGTATTCCGAGGGTCGTGGGTTCGAATCCCACCGTGGCCGGGCATATCTTTCAAGCTCGCCCGGTGTGGATATGCACTCAGAGCAACATCGGAAACATAAAATCTTTATATAGTTTGCATAACAATGGTCTTTTGTTAAAGTGTTCTTTAGCTGGTATAAAGACGTATGCATGTGACTAATTTCTTACTCAAGATTGGATAATTGCTTCATGAATTATTAATGAGTTTTTGAAAGAGATTTCGGGCACTAATAAAACTGATAATCTCACATGTGAGATTATTTATGATAATCTCACGTGTGAAAATTATTGCTTTTCAATTTTGGCTTTTGTGTAAAAATTATTGCTTTTCAAAGACTGTCCTTTATATAATAAACAGAAAAATACACGGGTGCTTGGAAATACCAGATTTATTTCTCGTGTTGAACATGATATCTCACTCGTTCGCTGCGCTCTCTCGTGAGATATCATGTTCAACACTCGAAATAAATTTGGTATTTCCACGCACCCATGTATTATTCTCTATTTAAACTATGACGGGGTAACCCAATATCCCATAAGCCTTTTGGCTTCTATTTGGGTTCCCTCGCCACAAATTTCTATTTTTTAATTTTTTGTTTTCTTTTGTGTTACTTTTGTAATTTCTTTTGTGGCAAAAATTATTAAATAAAATGATATTTGTAAGTGCAACACATTCGACAAATTCAATTTTTCTTTCTATTTTGACATATATGGCGGCGTATAATTTTATGCTGTTATTATAACGATAGTAAACTTGTCCTGGGGATCAAATGATTTCTATGCGTTTCGAACTCTGCTGTTTCTTTGAAATGTAATACGAGATTCCGCACTGAACTTTCATGCAAAATGGTTGTCTATGTTGAAGTCTCATAATCTCATTTTCTCATCTATTCAATAGGAATTTTCATTTTAACATATATGACGTAGTCACGTAGAATTTTATGCTGTTTATAACCATGCTAAAATTATCCTGCAGGCTGCTCCATTTACTGTTCTAGAACATTTGAAACACTGTTCTGGGATGATACAAAATGGAGTGCACACAGTGTTCTGGAACAGTGTTTCGTTTATTATATATGCGTACGTGCAACCAGGCATTACTATATTATTCATAAGTTATTTGCATAATAAAGCGCGTATATAATGATTCGCTGTTATTTGTACATCTACGTATGCTTTTGCAACGTTTTTACTCGTTGATTTTGCCCAACCCTGGCGTTCAAATAGCATATAATAAGTATATGTCGATATATAGCGGTTAAACCTTCAACATAACGCTCCATGCATTGTGCATTGGATACAAAAAATATGTCGCCTCCATTTCCAATCACGTGAAAATTGGCAGTGTCCCGTGTCTGATGTGGCTGCCTCTATTCGAAAATCGGGTTAGTCAGAACAGTTCAGAACAGTCATGTGACTGTCTTCTGTTGCATTCCATTAGTGTTCCGAAAATCCGGAGTATTCCGAACAGTAAATGGAGCAGCTTGCTGGGGACCAAATGATTTATATGCGTTTTTGCGCTATTTCTTTGACAGTGTAATACGAGATTCCGCACTGCGCTTTCATGCAAAATCCCTCTCTATGTTGAGGTCTCATTTTCCAATTACCTATTCTATGGGAATGTTTTATTTTAACAAATATGAAGTAGAATTTTATGCTGTATATGACGACAGTAAACATGTCCTGGGGACCAAATGAATTTATATGCGTTTTTCTGCCTTTTCTTCGAAAATGTAATACGAGATTTCGCACTGAACTTTTATTCAAAATGGTTGTCTATGTTGAGGTCTCATTTTCACAATTACCTATTCTATAGGAAGTTTTTTTATTTTAACATATTTGGCGTAGAATTTGATGCTGTTTATTTAAATACTTCTGCGGATGAGAGTACTAGTGGGTTCCAATTAATGCCCAAACTAGAACTATCTAGTACCCATATAGAAAAATTTAACATTGCCGCCCACAAAAATGATAGGCTGAAAAGTATTAACGTGCCCTTTACCAATGTCTATCACTGTCGCTTCACGTTGCTTCCGGCGCGCCTGCATGATCAGTGCAATGAAGGTTTTTTCCTTGCTATGATGTTGGAAGTTAGAGCAAATATAAAAAAAAAATTGTAAAATCAACAGCAGTCATTGTCAGGATCCGGGCATTTTATAACTTGAAAGTTCTTAAATTAATTTATTATGCATGCATGATATGGGGTAACACATAGAAAAAGAGAACACAAACAATAGTAAATATTCAGAAAAAGATTATTCGTCTAATGACGTTTAACTTTTACTTTGAACATACCGAACCAATATTTAAGGAGTTAAAAAACTTAAAAATACCGACTAAGCATTTACAAATTGAATTAATACCTAACGAGTTTATTTATGTTTCGATATTATAATCAGAAGAATTTACCAGATTAACATTCGTAAATTATTTCCTACCCATGGTTCTTATAATCAATATGAGAGCCCAACATATAACGTTTAACAAAGCCATTAAAACAGTTAAGATTGTAGAGAATTTTAATTGTAACGTTTTCTCTTTAACTTAAGACATCTTCAGACTACTAGATAAAATTACATGAGATTTGAATATATACTGTATAAGCTAATTATAATATATTTACAAGGTGTTATGTTACTAAGGATAATAAAGGATAAGAAGGTGTATGTATGACAGGACGATACAAATGAGGAAACAAAACAGACACAAGAAAACGGCAAATTACAGAAGGTTAAGCGAAATAGAGCTGCCCTGGACGTTAAGAGAGGGTTTGAGCTTAGATACAAAAAGGCTTACGTGAATCAGTAATTCACAAGTGTCTGAGCAAGAGGGAAGAATTTTGAAGTCGTCAAAGTTGACAGAGTGACCTGTAGTATCTAAGTGAGAGAAAATATACTAGACATGACTGGACTGGATGACGGCTGTCCTGTTATAAGAGTGAGTCCTAGGTGTTCCGATACTCTGGTGTGTAAATGGTGCATGGTTTGACCCACATACGACGCGGAACAGCATCGACACTTAAATAAGTATACGACACCAGATCTCAGAAACATAGGAACTTTATCCTTAAAATGAAAGAAATAAGAGTCTATGCGTTTAGAGGAGCGAAAGATAAATCGAAGCATTGCGGATAAGCAGCATTGCAAAATCGGTTGATTTGAGTGCGAATCTGACGAGAGTGTGAACCGGTGAAAGGAAGGCAGAAATGGACAACCTTTTTAGGAACCGTGTGAATAGGAGGTTTGGGTTAAGGAAACGATGAACAAAACGGTCAAACATGTTGGAGGGGAAACCATTCAAGTTAAACAGTTTCCTAATAACTTCAAGCTGCAGAATGTGAAAGTTTTCATAGCTAGAACAGAGGTTGAAAATTCTGTAAGCACAGAGATTAAAGAGCGTTTGTATGCAAGAGGAATGAAGCTGTGGAAGTTAGTGAAAAGACCCGTGAAAGTTGGTTTACGATAAACAGAAGTGGAAAATTTACCGTTTAAGCGAGTTATATCGACATCGAGAAAAGGCAGTTTACGGTCTTTTTCCAGTTCGGATGTAAAATAAATGTTTGGGTGTTGGCGGTTAAGATAATTAAGAAAAAGAGGTAGGTAGTCCAAGGATCTAAAAAGAAAAAAACAGTCATCGATAACGTCGATACAGAATAAGCTTGAAAATAGATGGACAGTTGTTTGCCATCCCACCAACCAAACTGAATTCCTGTAGTTTCCTCACATGTACACCGTTTGAAACGTTTTATAATCAACTCAAGCGAGAACCAATCAACTTTGATTCTGGCTTCTTCCCGGTTTCAATTAAAGCCAAGTTGAAAGATATTGCATACTCCGGCTTCCGAAGCTACAATCGACCTAACGCTTTATATACGCAGGAAGAACTGAACATTTTCAAAGACTTCGGGAACGAGAGCAGCATTGTAATCATGAAACCCGACAAGGGAAACGGCGTAATAATTCTTAGTAAGGATGACTACAATAAAAAGATGGATGAAATAATGTCGGATACTTTAAAATTTGAACTTTTGAATGATGATGCAATCAAGCTCACTCTCAAGCGTGAAAGTCAAGTTAAGACGCTATTAAAGAAACTAAAGGCTGACAATTGCGTTAATGAAAAAACTTACAACGAACTGTGGACTTCCCAAAATTCACAAATCCTCTATTCTTTAAGACCTATTCTATCTTCTATCAATCATTATTCGCTTTCTCACTTCTATCTCTACAAGCTCTTTCGTCATCATGGACTCGTTCTCTTTTGTTCAAGAACTCTTGAACAGCGACATCAACTCAGATAGTGTGGTTATGGCTAGCTTTGACGTTACTTCAATGTTTATCAGAATTCCTGTTGATGAAACAATTGAGATTATCTCAAATCACAACTTTGCCAGCTGCATATATTTTGAAGGCTTTGATAGCTCACAGTTCATTAACTTCTATCTCTTTCTGTGAAAAACTGCCACTTTATCTTTAACGGTCGAATTTATCAACAGATTGATGGCTTGGCTATGGGTAGTCTTCTAGGCCCTCTCTTTGCTAATATCTTCATGTCTTTCCATGAGAAATCATGGCTTTACAACTGTCCGTCTATTCTCAAACCTATTTTGTATCGACGTTATGTTGATGACTGTTTTCTTCTTTTTAGATCCTTGGACCACGTACCTCTTTTTCTTAATTATCTTAACCGCCAACACCCAAACATTTATTTTACATCCGAACTGGAAAAAGACCGTAAACTGCCTTTTCTCGATGTCGATATAACTCGCTTAAACGATAAATTTCCCAATTCTGTTTATCGTAAACCAACTTTCACGGGTCTTTTCACTAACTTCCACAGCTTCATTCCTCTTGCATACAAACGCTCTTTAATCTCTTCCTTACTTTACAGAATTTTCAACCTCCGTTCTAGCTACAGCATGAAAACTTTCACATTCAGCTTGAAGTTATTAGGAAACTGTTTAACTTGAATGGTTTCCCTTCCCACATGTTTGACCGTCTTGTTCATCGTTTCCTTAACAAGATCTTCGAACCCAAACCTCCTAATCACACGGTTCCTAAAAGGTTGTCGATCTATTTCTGCCTTCCCTTCACCGGTTCACACTCTCTTCAGATTCGCACTCAAATCAACCGACATTGCAAAGCTGCTTATCCTCATCTCAACGTTAGATTTGTCTTTCGCTCCTCTAAACGCATCTCTTCTTTCTTTTCTTTCAAGGATAAAGTTCCTAAGTTTCTGAGATCTGGTGTTGTATGTACTATTTAAAAAACGAGCGGGAGTGTTTTATTAGGTTTAAAGCCACGAGCGCGCAGCGCGAGTGTCTTTAGACCTAATAAAACACGACCCGCGAGTTTTTTAAATGACTTCAAAAACGTATGCATAATAAGTCAAATCTTTATATAAAAATCTTTATATAAAAATCTTTATATAAAAATATTTATATAGTTTGCATAACAATGGTCTTTTGTTAAAGTGTTCTTTAGCTGGTATAAAGACGTATGCACATGACTAATTTCTTACTCAAGATTGGATAATTGCTTCATGAATTATTAATGAGTTTTTGAAACTTATTTAAGTGTCGATGCTGTTCCGCGTCGTATGTGGGTCAAACCATGCGCCATTTATACACCAGAGTATCGGAACACCTGGGACTCACTCCTATAACAGGACAGCCGTCGTCCATGCAGTCATGTCATGTCTAGTATTTTCTCTCACTTAAATACTACAGGTCACTCTGTCAACTTTGACGACTTCAAAATTCTTTCCTCTTGCTCAGACACTTGTGAATTACTGATTCACGAAAGCCTTTTTATACCTAAGCTCAAACCCTCTCTTAACGTCCAGGGCAGCTCTATTCCGCTTAACCTTCTGTAATTTGCCGTTTCTTGTGTCTGTTTTGTTTCCTCATTTGTATCGTCCTGACATACATACACCCTCTTATCATTTATTATCCTTAGTAACATAACACCTTGTAAATAGATTATAATTAGCTTATATATATTCAAATCTCATTTAATTTTATCTAGTCTGAAGATGTCTTAAGTTAAAGACGAAGCGTTACGGTTGGAATTCTTTACAATATTAACTGTTTTAATGGCTTTGTTAAAAGTTATATGTTGGGCTCTCATATTTATTATAAGAATTCGTTTTCTAATAAATAATCCTACCCAATAATGAAATTCATGACCATAGAACAAGGAATGCAACTAAGATTCACAAGACTTATAAAAGGACAAATTATGTAATGCATACTGTGCTCTTTCTAACAAAGGAGTTGATATTTGGAATAACATAGAATCTAAATACAAATCTATTTTCTCCTATTGTACTTTTGAAATAAAAATAAAAAATCATTGTATATTCAATAATTGATGTATAATAGTTTAAAATATATATTATCAACTTCTTTATTGTAAATATACATATATATAGTATCTTCCAGTTCGAATATATATAATTAAGTTTGTACAGAGAATAATACATGGGTGCGCGGAAATACCAGATTTATTTCGAGTGGTGAACATGATATCTCACGAGTGAGCGCAGCGAACAAGTGAGATATCATGTTTAACACGAGAAATAAATCTGGTATTTCTAAGCACCCATGTATTTTTCTGTTTATTATATAAAGGACAGTCTTTGAACAGCGATAATTTTTCCAGAAAAGCGATAATTTTCACATATGAGATTATCATGAATAATCTCACATGTGAGGTTATCACTTTTATCAATGCTCGAAATCTCTATAAAGCACTATACTTTATATATTAAATGCATATTAATCGGTTTTATTATATAAAGTATAATGCTTTATAGAGATTTCGAGCACTGATAAAAGTGATAATCTCACATGTGAGATTATTCATGATAATCTCACATGTGAAAATTATCGCTTTTCAATTATCGCTTTTCTGTAGAAATTATCGCTTTTCAAAGACTGTCCTTTATATAATAAACAGAAAAATACATGGGTGCTTGGAGATACCAGATTTATTTCTCGTGTTGAACATGATATCTCACTCGTTCGCTGCGCTCACTCGTGAGATATCATGTTCAACACTCGAAATAAATCTGGTATTTCCGCGCACCCTTGTATTATTCTCTATTTATTTTATATTATTTATATACTTTATCTTTGTTCAATATAATAATTCGAACTGACTAAATATAAGAATGAAATAATGTAAGTATAGAGGTCTTAATTAAAGGCAATTGATAAATAGTGAAGCGAATAGTACGAATAGTGAAGCGAATAGTACGAATAGTGAAGCGAATAGTACAAATAGTCCGCGAATAGTCGACGAATAGTGCAATAGAAATTTTGCAAGGCTTAATTTGCATCAGTGCTGTTGAACGAAATTTACCTGAGCGGGGCGTGAGGGAGCGGCTCTATTGACAAACATGAAATCGTGAAAACATTAAGAGGGCCTCTCAGTAAAATCCACTCACTGGTTTGGGGAAGGAAAAATAGATTTAGCTCATATTTTGCATATGAACTAGACTTTGGTCAATATTAATCGAGCTTCTTTCAGAACGTTTCAACTTTCTGTTTTATAGGAGTTATAGCCATGTTAAAATTTGACCTTGCGAGAATATTTTCAGACCGGAAATGAAGGGGAATTTTACAAGAATTCATCTGATTTTTTAAAAACGTTGTGATGGGTTTATCCCCTTCAGTTACAGTTCACATGCAAGATTAACACTAATACTCTCGTTTACATGGAGATTGAACAACTTTATTTGCTTAATACGGTTTTTTTATAACTATGTTTTCAAGATGGCGACGAGAGGCTGAAAATTGCTCATATTTTACTTAAAATAGCTCAAAAGTGGCACCTATCTGAAGTTCAAAAGGCATGTAATTTGAAAGTATACCTACTAAAGTTAAGTAATCAGGAATAAAACTCGTCTGCAAGCAATTTTCTGAAAAGTTATAAATCTCCAAATTGGGTCTATTTTTAGCTGTTTGTTTACCTAGCGTCTCGAATACCGATCTCGTAAAAAACTGCACACTAACTGAAGCTACTAATCTAAATAAAGCCAGTAAAACTAAGTCAACAACGGGTAAATTTAATACCAGCACATCTCGATTAGGTAATGGACGTTTTAACCGAATGACACCTAAACGCCCAAAACATTTAACCCCGTGTCCATTCCTGAGGAAAAGAAAATTATGTAAAAAAGGCAATAATTGTGACTTCCTACATCAGAAACCTCAATTTTATAATAACATCCAACGACCCTCCTATAAGATAATGGATAAAGCTGTCTCCTCACCCAGTTTTCATTACTCCCCTTTTCCTGTGAATCCCTACTATTTCCCTCCATTTCGATCCCCAATATACCACCCCACATCCCAACCTTTTCCATACCCTCCTTCATTGATGTCAGTACAAACAACAGGATATTGAGTACTGATAGACATCCGCGTAATGGTCGTTGTCACCGTGCTCGTACTCATAACCCTTCAAACTGTGTCTGCGTGTCTGTACATAGAACTAACTTAAATTCAGATTCTCATACAAAATTCCTCCGTTTCGCCAATGTTAATGCGAGATCTCTTAAAAACAAAACAGCCGAAATCGTTGATCATGTTTTGAGCAACGATATTGATGTGTGTATTGTGACTGAGACCTGGTTAAAAGACGTTGACACTGTTAGCATAGCCGCGCTTTCTCCCCCTGGTTACTCTTTTAAAAACCTTCCAAGACAATCTAACAGAATGGGTGGAGGCACTGGCATTATGTTTAACACCAATTTTAAAGTTACTTTAATTGACGGAGGTGAAAAACGATCT